GAAATTCGGCTGGGATAGGTAGGGGGGATAGGAGGGAAAGTAGGAGGTGGGGGAGGTGGGGATGAGGGGTGAGGTAGGAGGGAAAGTAGGAGGTGGGGGAGGTGGGGATGAGGGGTGAGGTAGGAGGGAAAGTAGGAGGTGGGGGATGAGGGGAAAGGGGTGAGATAGGAAGGAAAGTAGGAGGTGGGGGAGGTGGGGAAAGGGGAGAGATAGGGGGGTGTAGGAGGTGGGGATGAGGGGAAAGGGATGAGGTAGGGGGGAAGTAGGAGGTGGGGATGAGGGGAAAGGGGTGAGATAGGGGGGAAAGGTAGGGGAAAGGGGGTGAGGAGGGAATATGGGTAATGGATGTCGGCTGAAAGGGGACGAATGAGGAGGTAGGGGTTGTTAGGGGTAGGGAAATGGAGGGAGACGAAGGATGTAGGGGATGATAAGGGTAGGGAAGGTGGGCAGTAGGGGAGGTAGTGAAAGGGGAATGGAGGGAGACGAAGGGGGAAAGGAATAGGTAGAAGTGGCAAGGGAAAGGGGAGGGGAGGTACGGGTGTCAAGGGAAGAGATGAGAGGCAGGGCTAGGGGGTATTAGGGGGAAAGAGTCCAAATCCTCGGGGGGTCGAAAGGGGGGGGGCGGTCGCTTCGAGTAGGAGAACGAGGGATTTTCGAGACGTGAAGGAGAAAGGGGAAAGGAGGGGAAAGGGTGTTATAGGTTTCCCCTTGTGGTGGGGTCAAGATGATTAGCAGGCTGGCGTGGGGAAGGGGGTAGCCGTGTTGTTTCTCTCTCCCACGCTCTCCGCTCTAAGCAGCAGGTCGTTAGTATTGACAGGTTCCTTTTCTGCGTCTTAAAAGCAATTTTAAAGGCTTATGAGGGACGTTTTATGATGCGAGAAGATACGGTCGTGGGAATGATATATTTTTTTTATGTAGTTTCGTTAGACGTATGCGTGGTATTATAGTATTTTGATTTTGCTTCAGTTGTTTTTACAGTGTTTCTTGTAACGCTGCTGTAGTATGTTGTTGCTTGTCCTTGATACTAGGAGTTGGAGGCCGATGTTATCACTTTAATCGTGACCAAGTCTAATGTTTCTTGACTTTGTCCAATGACCTTGATATTTATATATATTTTTTTTTTTGTTTTTATTCTTATCCGAGGATGGACTACCTTGATGCATCCTAATAAAGAAAGTATCTCGTATCTGTAGCGCCGAGTGATGTGTCAGAAGGTGTCATGTTTACAGCCGATGAGGTGGATACGGCACAGTTTTGTAGTCCGACGCCCACTTTACGACCCACTAAAATGTGTGTTCCATAAACAAAACAAATTTATTAGGTTAATTAAGTATCAAAACGGGGGGGATGAGGCTAAAAAACTGCCGGTCTTTAGCACAGTTGCAAAGGTCTTCTAGATTTTTTTTTATTTTCCATTTTTTTGGGGAGTGGGAGAGGGAAGGGGGAAGGCAAAGAGTCCTTTCAGATTATATTTATTATCGTTTTCACTAACTTTTAACGTCCTTTTTGCTTATCAGCCGATCACTCCCCTCGCCAAAATGGCCAAATATGCAAAGTGAATGAAAGAGACAGAACGTAAAAAAAAGAAAGAAAGAAAGAAAAAAAGAGTCCCCATTTTTCATCCACTGCCTCCCACCTCTTCTTTGTGATGGATCTTCGACAGGTTGTGAAGCGACGCGAGAAACCATGTGAAGAAGATGTAAATCCTACTCTCTTGGCCTTTTACACACTACGGTCTTGCCTTCGCGATGTTCACTTGTTCGGCCATTTGTCACGTCATTTATACTTTTCCGTGCGTTTATGGCGGGATTTACGGACGGGCCCCGGGTGTGCACATGCGCCTCGGACGTCGAATGAATAGGGAGCCATTATTTTTTATCTCTCTCTCTCGCTTTTGTTTATTGCCATCCGTCTTTGTTCTCTCGTTTAATGAGCTTGTGGTAATAATGATCGATGAGGAGGTACCGAATAAAAAAAAAAAAAAAAAAAAAAAAAAAAAAAAAAAAAAACAATAAATAATGGAAGGAAACGTTATAGATTTTTTTTTTGAGAAAGCATGTGAACTGTGTTTCGTCTTTTCATTTCTTTTTATACATATATATATATTTTTTTCCTCTCTCTCTCTTGGTGCCCGCCCACCACCGCCTTCCTTCCCGCCTTCCTTTTGTTCTCTCCATGCAAGGATGACCTCATGAAATATTAAACGAGGATCATGGCACGAAGGGCGAGGGGGTTAGGGGAGGTTAGGGGGGGTTAGTGGAGGTTAGGGGGGGTGGGGGGGTGAAGAGTCCCCAGGCAGCCTTCTCATTCATGGACGAGAGAAAAGGGAGGAGATGTAGGGAGAGAAAGGGGGATTCTCTGTCTCTCTTATCTCTATCATATCTGCTTGTCTATCTATTTATCTGTATCTGTCTATCCATCTACCTACCTACCTATATATCTGTCTATCTATCCACTTACCTACCTATCAATCCATCCATCTGTCTACTCTACTGACTGATTATCTATCTATTTATCCATCTGCCTATCTATATCTGTCTATCCCTCCATCTACCTCCTATGTATCAATCTGTCTGTCTAACCACTTACCTACCAATCCATTCATCCATTTGTCTACCCGTCTATCTATCAATCTGACTGATTATCTATCTGTTTGTCCATCTGCCTATTTATATCTGTTTATCTATCCATCACCCACCTACCTATGTATCAATCTGTCTGTCTATCCATCCATCTGTCTACCCACTTACCTACCTATTTATCCATCCATCTGTCTATCCACTTACCTACCTACGTATCCATCCATCCATCTGTCTACCCACTTACCTAGCTATCAATCCATCCATCTGTCTACCTACTTACCTACCTATTCACCCATTCATCTGTCCACCCATCCATTTGTCTATCCACTTACTTACCTACCTATCCATCTATCCATCTACCTATCTCTCTGTACGTGTATATATCTCTACTGTCTCCCTCCGTCGCTCTCTCTCTCTCTCTCTCTCTCTCTCTCTCTCTCTCTCTCTCTCTCTCTCTCTCTCTCTCTCTCTCTCTCTCTCTCTCTCTCTCTCTCCTCTCCCTTCCCCCCGGGTTAGGGGAGGTTAGGGGGGGTTAGTGGAGGTTAGGGGGGGTTAGTGGAGGTTAGGGGGGGTGGGGGGGTGAAGAGTCCCCAGGCAGCCTTCTCATTCATGGACGAGAGAAAGGGAGGAGAGGTAGGGAGAGAAAGGGGGATTCTCTGTCTCTCTTATCTCTATCATATCTGCTTGTCTATCTATTTATCTGTATCTGTCTATCCATCCATCTGTCTATCCACTTACCTACCTATCAATCCATCCATCTGTCTATCCACTTACCTACCTACCTATCCATCCACTTACCTAGCTATCAATCCATCCATCTGTCCATCCACTTACCTAGCTATCAATCCATCCATCTGTCTATCCACTTACCTACCTACCTATCCATCTACCTATCTCTCTGTACGTGTATATATCTCTACTGTCTCCCTCCGTCGCTCTCTCTCTCCCCCCCCCCGTGTGGCCGGCGAGGATGACCCAAATAAGAAGGGACTGCTGTCTCATGGTCTTCTACACGTTTAGGGGATTCTTTTCTATATATTTTTTTTATTGTTTTCTTTCCCGGGGAATGGGGTGTGAGTGGCGACATGGGGGGGGGGGGAGATGTAATTAATGACTTGCATTAATTCATTTAGGTATATGTCTTTTATGTATGTGTATATGTGTGTGTGTGTGTGTGTGTTTGTGTTTGTGTGTGTATCTCTCTCTCTCTCTCTCTCTCTCTCTCTCTCTCTCTCTCTCTCTCTCTCTCTCTCCACACGCACACGTATATATATATAATATATATATATAATATATATATATATATATATATATATTTATATATATATATATATGTGTGTGTGTGTGCGTGTGTGCGTGTGTGCGTGTGTGCGTGTGTGCGTGTGTGCGTGTGTGTGTGTGTGTGTGTGTGTGTGTGTGTGTGTGTGTGTGTGTGTGAATACACACAGCTATTGAGCATTAGTCACGTCTGTTGTTCAAGGCATTTGCCAGAAAAGTTGCAAAACGTGGCCCGAAAAGTTAGGCAGCCACGCATAGCTGTCTTTGAGAACACCAGAAAGTAAATAGAATTATAATGATAATGATAAGACCTCATCCCGGAAGCGAAGCGGGGCAGCGACATCCCCGAGAGGCTCAGGAGGAGGAGGAGGAGGAGGAGGAGGAGAAGGAGAAGGAGAAGGAGGAGGAGGCGGCGGCGGCAGCGAGAGGCGCATCCTTGCCTCGACTCCCGACGCGCCGCTGGGTCGTCGAGGAAGAAAAGTCCCAGGACGCGAACCTCCTCGCAGGACTCTCGACTCGGGCAAGCACAGGGCAAGACGGCGGGGGGGGGGGGGTGAGAGAACCCTCGCTTGCTCTCTTTTCCTCGATCTCTTGCTCTCTCGGTTTCTTTTCTCTCTCTCTGACCTTTTTCTTCTCCTGTGTTCTCTTGTCTTTCATTCAGATTCTGTGTGTATCTGTGTATCTCTCTGTTCGTTCGCCTGTCTATCTCTCTCTCTATTTATCTATCTATCTATCTATCTTTCTATGTATTCAATCTATCTTTTCTATTTTCCCCTCCTTTAGGATCCCCTTCCCTAGAACAGATAAAACGGATAATGAAACAGACGATAAGCTCTGACCAGCATCCACACGGCAGGGAAGTGGATGCTGAGATGATGCAGCAGTCCTCTCATCCTTGGGCAGCAATCTCGCCGAGGTTTCAGACGAGATATGACAAGCTTCAACATCAGCTTAAGTGATATATACTTTCGCCTTTGTGATTTTTTACAAAGACATGTAATAGCAATTTGCAAAGCTTTTTCTTTATCTTTCCCGAATGCGTCTATATTTTTACGTACACACACACCCAAAAAATCTAAACGTGTTACCGTGCAATTTGCCAGCGAGAAGAGGCCGAATACAAAGCGCAATATGATGTGG